GGGATTAGAACTGGCTCAGACCAGTCAGGTTCTCCCCATCCCTGGAGCTGGAGTCAAGTCCCCAAATCACAAGGCTATCACATAATTGTGGGGAGGAGCAGAGGATAGAATAAATGTTGGGAGGACAGCCAGAGAGTTCACTGTAACCACTGACCAATATTCATACCTTTATTCTTCTGACTCTGGAACTATTGTTCTTCCTGCCATATAGTGCTGCCTCCTTATGTCTTGCCATTGCCCTCTAGATCAAGCCCAGACTCCTTATTTCAGCATATAATGGCCTTCACACTCCAACCCCAATTTATCTTTTCAGCCTCATTTCTCACCGTTCACTCTCATTTATTCTAAGCCAGTGGTTCATCAAGCTGGCTCAGGACCCCTTTGATACTCTTAAAAGTTATTGAGGGCCCCAAAGAGTTTTTGATATAGCTATTGATATTTACTTAATTAGAAATAAAAACAAAATTTTGAGATACTAATTTCCTTTAAAATAATAAACCTATTACTTAGTATAAATAACACATTTTTGTGAAAAGTGCATTTTCCCCAAAATTTTTTGAGAAAAATGGCACGGTTTTACGTTTTTAAAAATCTCTTTAATGTCTGCTTTAATAGAAGACATCAGGCAGGATTCTCATATCTGCTTCTGGATTCAGTCTGTTGTGATGTTATTCTGGTTGAAGTATAGGAAGAAAATGTGGTCTTACATAGACATGTAGTTGAGAAGTGGAGTTATGCGTATTTTAATAGTCTTTTCATATCATTATGTGTATTCTCTGATATTACACCAATTCTGTAAGTAGTAATTTCTCAGAGGTTAGTTGCACTGTGGAATCTGAACCCTTTGTATTGTTTGGTTAAAATCCATTGGACTGTCTGGCACTTTGAATAGCTTTCACACATTTGGAAAATCTTTGTTCCCTGAGTTATTCAAGTTTTCCAAATATTTCATTATGAAATCTTTTTAGTCACATTTTAAATATCACTGCCTGTCTTGTCAGAAGAATCTACGTTTTGGGAAGCTGTTGGTTATGGAGGATTTAAGTTTTCTAGAATTCTAATTTTCACTTAAAAGCTCAGATTTTATCATTGGCGACAAATACTGCCATTTTCCTTGAAATAACAGGCTTATTTCATTTATTTTTGACAAAGTGCCAAATGCCCAAGTCTGAATAACCATAGTTTATCTGTCATCATTTTTTGCAGTAAAACTGGTGCTCCATAAAATGATCCTATGGAAAAAAAAAAAAATGATCCTATGACTTCACCTGCCTCATAACTTCTGCTTACTATGTTCTGGGTGTCCTTCAGCTTCACTGCCACCCTCCAGCCTTTCCAATGTGCCTCATATTCAAATGACTCAAGAGAGAATCTGATTGGATTAGCCAGCCATTATCCAGTATAGAAGTGGTGTGGCGCTGAGCATGGCAACCAGCGTGTTAAGGAACAAATTCTGGCTGCTTACGTGGAGGAGACTTCTAGTCTAGCAAATACTCAGAACAGTGTGTCCAGGACATTCACCATTATGAATTAACAAGATATATTTTCACAGACAGGCGCACAGAGTGTGATTATGGTATGAGAAGTTAAAAAAATTAGATTTATAATTTGCTTTTATAAGTACTCATTTGATAGCACCTTGTTTAAAGACCCCGCCCCCCAAAAAGCATGTCCTTAAAGTTATAGTCACATTTTGCTACCACTTGCACTTTGTTTGGAGCACTAATAATATTCTGAGGCTGCCATCAGACCATCTGTTCCAAATATACTCTTCAACATGGATTGAGTAGTTGTTACTATGAATTTTCTACCAATGTAAACATAGAAGGTATTGCCTTTCACATTAATATTAATAAAAAGACATTGTTACAAAGAATTTTCTTTGGTTGATTAACAATTTTTCATTGTTTTAATGGGTGTCTTCCTCCTTCACAAGGGAGGAAAATCCTCTAAAGTCTGTGAGTATAATCTTATTTCTAGTGTTTTTCTTTGTTAGGAGTCACGAGGCACTGAATCTTGCAAGTTCACAGATTTTAAATGTAATTTTTATTTAAGATTAGCTTTCTCATTTTGGTAGGAACAAAGAAGGCTAAGAAATGTACTTCTGCCATCTTGAGTGGATGGTAGGTTTAGTAACTTTTCCTATTTGAAGGTTCTGGAATTATTTGTATATTGTATTCTGTACGGTACAGGATAGATTTTGGCTGCATAAGTGAAAACATACCCATATACCCATGAGTGAGCACATGTATGCTTACAAACAAGTTCATTCACTCAGTGAAGTAAAGAGCTGAAGCAGGCTGTTTTTAGAAAAAATATTGGGGGCCTGAGTTCCCTCTTTCATTCATCTCATGAGAACATTACTAAGGGGTTTAATGTATTTGGGATAATGATGAAGAAAACAAAAATAGCATCCCTGTGGGGAAATGTAACCTGATAAAATTTAAAGTGGGACCAAAATTGAAACATAATTCTTTTAGGAAACGGAAATATTTTATCTTTGTCACATGGATGTAATCTAAATTTTAACAGAAATCTAGGCTTCCGTTCTTTTTGTACATCTTGATTTTATTAACTTTTGTATTCTTTGAGCCATATGTCACAAGCAATTAAGTTGTAAATATTATACAGAATAATCTGCATACTCTTCAAATACTTTTTTTTGCGGTACGCGGGCCCCTCACTGTTGTGGCCTCTCCCGTTGCGGAGCACAGGCTCCGGACGCGCAGGCTCAGCGGCCATGGCTCACAGGCCCAGCCGCTCCGCGGCATGTGGGATCCTCCCGGACCGGGGCACAAACCCGTGTCCCCTGCATCAGCAGGCGGACTCTCAACCACTGCGCCACCAGGGAAGCCCCCCCTTTTTTTTTTTTCTTAATGGAACACTAAAAATGCCCTAGTCGTTCCTTTAGCTTTTTGCACTAATAGGTATAAAGCAGAGCCTCAGGGGCTGTTCTTGCTAAGTATTGTTAATGCTGCAGTGCAGGTTGGAATCTCAGAAAACCCAGTTATATACTATAAAGGTGTGGATAGCTTTTATTCTTAATATCCAAAATCATCTAAAGGCTTGTTTTCTTTCTTTTTTTTCAGACCTAACTACCATAATGAATGCTGCATATTAAGAAAACCACAAGAAGGTTATATGTTTGGTTGTCTAATATTCTTGGATTTGATATGAACCAACACATAGTCCTTGTTGTCATTGACAGAACCCCAGTTTGTATGTACATTATTCACATTCCTCTCTGTTGTGTTTGGGGGAAAAAAGACATTTGAGCCTTTTTTAAGGTTATTGATTTAATTTCATGTTATTTGGTTGCATGAAGTTGCCCTTAACCACTAAGGATTATCCAGATTTTTGCACAAGCTTATACAAGTCTAGGATCCTTTATCAAGGCAGTTATGTTCATCAGTCTCCTGCCTTTACTCCACCATCACCAAACACTCAGTTAAATATAAATTAGCATTTTTTAAAATGACCACTCAACATAATGCTTAAGGGATTTCCTCTCTGTGACAGAACCCAGGAACCAATTCCTAGATACACCATGTTGGCATATTGAAGATAAACTTAAAATTGTTCTTCAGTTTTGAGGCCATGTGTAAAGTTTAATCATATTGTAAAATATCTATTCCGTATTAGAAATAGCTAGTTGACAGCTTATACTTCTCAAAACTCATGTTGTTAACGTACACAAACTCAGTTTCTATATGTGAAGTTAGTGAGTCTTTTGTGTTACTCCAAAATAAAGGCAATGATTTATTTTTTCCCAATCTCAATACAATTTGAGCTAATCACTCAAGCTGGATTCTTTACATTTTAAAGCTGGAATCAGCAGTAGCCCTATGGGAAGTAAGACAAAGCATTGACTTTTAAATATAGACTTTTAAAATGATCTGTTGTTTTCTTTTGGAACTAGAATTAGAATAGTTAATACTCATCCACAAACCATTATTATGTGTACATTATTGTTGCAATTGTGATAATAGAAAATTTTATTTATTTTTATGCCAGCTTATATTGTGAGAACACATTTAGTCAGTTTGGGTTTTATCAGTCCTGTTATGCTTGTCCTTGGAACATCTTTCGCGTATTCGAGGTTTGTAGTTGAAAAGTTTACTGTAAAAAAAAAATCAAAAACAAAAAAGTGTATTGTTTTTACAGAATAAATTTATTGGAATGTGTACTGGGAGTAAGGTTTGAGGTTGTAAACAACTAAGTTAGTGTAATTTGGCTTCATATATGTAATGTGAGGTATTAATGTAATTCATATATTAAAGCAAAAATTGTTAACAGCAAGTTGACAATAGAATCAAGTGCAGGTGAGGGTTTTCTTTTTTTTTTTAACACTCTATGGGTTTTAGGGTTTTTTTAAACAGTGTGGGGAGGGAGAGGAACTGGCTACATGATTGCTTGCACGTCTAAGATACTTACCAGTTCAGTGGACCCTAAATTCACACACTTGACATTATCCATGCATTGATTTGGACCCCATTTTCTTTTGGTTTTCTTATTTTGGTGAAGAGCTTGTAAATAACATGAAGGAAAAACATGAGTGGCCCTAAAAGCTTAGGGCCATTGATGATGATGATGGTAGTGGTGGTGGTGGTGATGATGGCAGCTGAGGGCATGAAAGCGCCACTTACCACTCCCGGGCTCTGAGGCGGCGGCTGGATTTTTGGTTTGTTTCTCTTACTTAGCAAATATTGATTTTCCTCTGTTTATACTCACTCACATTTCCAAATATGAAAAGTTCATTAAAAGACAGTAGGAATGCCAGTCCACTTCTTTTTCCTTAAAAGGTGCTTTTTAATTTTGAATATTTTAATTTAAAAGTAATGAAATTTAATTAATTCATGAAAAGTCCTCTTCATTGCTCACACTACAACATGAGAATGTAGATGACATTTTGAACTGGAAATATAGCTGACAGATTTTTAAAACAAAAGGCGTAAAGACTACAGAACTTTTTCTGAAAAAAATATACAAAATGTTTCAAATTTAGTAAGATTTGTCTTCATAAAAGACCAAAAATAATTTATTAAAAATATACACAGAAATACAATAGAAACATTTCCAGTCACCAATAAAATAAGGTTAATGATAAGTTATAGATCCCTCCTTAGCTATTTAGACTCACAGAAAAATTTCAGTAAAAGCAATTTTTAAACAGCAGTAAATAATATACTTTCCTTGGGAAAACATTTTTCAAACAACATTTTTAAATATTCTGATAATTTGTCTTTTATATTGAGGTTGATAATGAAACATATAGATCTTATATGCAAAAATATTTCTCCATCTGTATTTGCTACTTTGAAATTTTTAATATGCATAGACCATTTTCACTTTTGAACAGTTTCCTTTTCATGCTCACTATTATAGGAGCTAAATTGTAATTTTTCACTTATATTTAAAGTGTGCAAACAGAATATTGAGATAGGTGGTCAAGTTTATTCACAAATAACTTGAAATATATTTCTTTAAACAAGCTTTCTGAATAACTTCAATTTTCCTTCAAAAAAAGAAAATTTATCCACATAATTCCTATGATAGCTCACATATACAGTACGGAGCAAGAATTTATGTATTCTTAAATGTTCCTGTATGGGAAGAGAGTGGAATGGGACCAAATATTGGTACCAAAATAACAAAAGTCAGTAATCTAGAGAGAAATAACATAAAATAATGCTTTTATTCAACTTTTTCATCTGCCTTTGTTTTTATGAAGAACTCTGGTTTGTAGATACAGCGATAGGCCAAGAGCTGAGGAAGAACTCCATATGCTATGTTTAATGCTAAAAAAAGGATTTTCGCTTCTTCAGGGACTCTGTAGACATAAGCAGTTCTAGCATGAAGAGAAGCACCGATGTGAGAAAACTGAGCCTGTTGCATTAAAAAAAGGAGAGGGGGTGGTAAGCATGAATTTTGTGTTTAGTTGGATGCACGATGAGTTCTGAATGGTTCATTCAGACCATGCTCCTGTGCCCTCAAAACCAGGACTTTCAAACAATCCATAGTCTTCAATATTTCATTGAATTTAGGGCTATTCTTGACTTAACTGTTCAAATAAAGTAAACCTTTAGCACGTCTTTATCAGGCTAGCTGTTTTTTAACGCATCTAGTGCCCCCATACCAAACAGTAGTGGCTCAATTTGACAAAAAATCTGAATAAAATCTGCTTTTTCCTGATTTACCTTCTGGAGATATCCTATATAGGAACTCAGTTGTGGCTCACAAAATGTGTTCCAATAAAAATGAAGCAAGTACAGAGTTTAGACAGCTTAAGATATTTTTAGCCTAACTATTTAAAGAGAAGGACTGAGAGAGGGCCTCAGCTTCATTTATCAGTTCTTTCACCTACTCCTTGGAGCAAGAGCTCAAAGCCTTTCATTATGCATTTGTTTATTTATTCACATATTTGTTTTTTTATGCAACTTAAAAAATACTAAGGGTTGTTTTGTAAGATAAGGGTGGGCGTAGGGATTTGGTTGCTCTTTATAAAATGGCAAATATACATGCAGGCAACCTTTTCAAATCAAATTTTTTAGAAGTATGGCTTGTCAGTATAATCCGAGTTTACAAAACAGAAAGGCAAGAGCTTCCCATTTGTACTTAGATTACTTGTTGAGAACATACATTCAGAATGTGCCAGTTGGTCTTTTTTGATACTTTTCGTAAGCACAGGGGAATCTATTAGAAAAGGCTTCTGTGAAAGTATTTCCTCAGGATCCTTGTATCATTACAGAATGCAGTCCTGGAGTCTGCATTTCATATCTTACTGAAATGCAAGATATACACAAAGGATTGGGAATCTAAATGTAGTAAGTGGTGACTTAGTTCATCAGGATCAAAGTGAAAAGACAGAAGATACTATAATCTAAAGAAGGCACAGAAGTAACAAGAATGAAAACTAAATAATTTGCTTTAAATACATATGAGTTATCTTACATTTCCTTCCATATGAAATCAGTTTATTCTGCTAAGTGGTTAACACAGATAAAAGTGTTACTTAGCACTTGACTTTACTATGATGAGCAAAGGACAAGTTTTCATAAGCAGTATGTATACAGATTGTATCAGTGACAGATTTTAACAGGTTACATTTTTGCAAGTTACTGATACATTCTGGGGGCCTCTGGTAGTTTTGCTGCTTTCTGGAGATAGAAATTAAATTAGTGTGGTGTGTTGCCAAGGACCCAGGGACCAACGCCAATGCCAACGCAGGAATCGTCTGTCTGCATTGTGATCTGTGAGGCACTGAGAGGGCTCTGCCCTCAAACACACCTCCCCCGGGGCACATGCCCAAACAGAACCCAGCAAACGTTAAATATTTCATCTCTGGGCTATGAAGACAAAACACCTTGAGAGTAAAGGGCATTTGAGAGGCTGCCCTGAGGAGCTGCTCTTGTGGACATTCTAGGAACACTGAACAGGAACTTGGCCCCCATCACTATTTTCTTCTAGGGCCTATTTTGAATAACAGTATTTTTCTGAATATTGTAACTAAATTTTTTCTTCTGGACTAGAGGCCAGATTTGAACCATGGTTTTAAGAAATGTGCATTTGGTGTCTATCTTTATAGACACTTATACACATCTCAAAAATCACCAAATTTGGGGAAATGCGGACCACAGTTTGAGAGAATAATATGAGCAATCATGCCTACTTGCATAGGGAACCTGCTAAAACGTCTGATTTCGTAGGCTTTTTTGCTGCACTAACCGGTGCAGTTAATACCTCATTTTCACAAACAGCAAACTCATGGCAACATTAAAAAATGATCGTGTCCTTAGATTAGATTGTAAGCCCACCGGGCAGGTACTGTGTCTGATGTTTTGTGTGGCACCTATCACATTGTTAGAGCTCAATAAACGTTCAACAGTAATGGTCTTGTGACTGTCAAAATACAAAAAAGCTTCTACAAAGCATTTCTCTATTTTTATACCTATTTTAATAGGCCTTTTGCTTCAAAATTGTTTAACAAGGGGCAAAGATGATTGCATTTCTAATCAAAAGAGGTATGTAATTGAGAGAAAGAGCCTGAGGCCAATTTTCTGCAGTTCCTGTACTGCTCATGGTTCTAATGGGTGTATTTATAGTGGCCTCACCTCTAGCTGAGTGAGCAATCCAACCATAGCTTCCTCCCAAGACATATGGTGTCCAGTTTCCAGGGTGCTGAAGTTTCAGAAAACCCTCAGTCTCACTTGAGAAGGGTTCCCTTCCCAAGCACATAGCTGCTAAGGGGCTGCACCGTGTCTCCTGGGTGATTTTCCCACCAGCACATGAGACCTCCTTATGACAGGGCCGAAGAGCTCAGCCTGAGCACTGTGCTAGTAGGATCTGGTGGCTTGGTGACCTCAGTGCTGCTGAACTGACACATGGCCAAGATTACATGTTCAAGTTATGGGTCCCAGAAATTTCTCCAAAATTCAGTGATGTGAGGCTGAGCCCCTAATAATTTTTCTTCTACTTCATTCTAAATCATTTTTCACCTTAAATTTAGTTAAGAGATTTACTTTGGGTTTTTTTTTTTTTTAAGAATGGATTGTTGGGATGGGAAATGAGGCAATAAAGTCAAAGAAAAAGGTTAAATTTTAATAGCTGTGTTTTCCTATAGAGACAGCCTGGAAAGAATTTGACTAAAAATCACAATCTTGGTTCCAGAAAGGAGAATTGAAAGAGTTTTGTGTGTCCACATAAATATTATAGGCAAAAACTAATGTGAACATTGGGACAGTAGCCAGGTTATTTGGCTGATACAGTATAAACAGCTAATCTAGAACCGTGTTACCGTTTCTTAGGGTTTTCTGAGCGCCATAGTCTTGTGGTTAAGAACACTGAATCTGGAACCAGATAGACAGCGTCAAATCCCAGCTTCACCGAAAACCAGCAATATGACCTTGTGTTAGGTATGTAACTACCTCTGGCTCCTCACCTGAAAAGCAGGAGTCCACCTCATAGGATTGTTATACAGGTTCAATGAGTTGATCTTTGTCAAGTGCTTAGGACAGTGCCAAGCACATGGAGCTCTTCCACAGACAGATACAAAACCCAAGTGAAATACTTGCTCATGATCTGGCACTCTACTTGCTTGAAAACCGGGGCCCTTTGTTTTTAGATTCCCTTGCTGATCTTTTGACAATTTCAAGACTGTCTCCACCAAAGGATAACAAGCATGTAAAAAGACATTAAACCCAAGCTCTAGTTTTAATACTAAAAAAGATGTTTAGTGATGAATCACATCAGAAGCAAATGATTAAAATGAGATTTGCTTTAGTATCCCATGTTCTTCCTAAACCTTTACTTTCAGGTTTTCTTAAAGGCTTCCATAAAGGAAAAAACTTAATAAAACTTGTCCCCCAGTAGAGTCAACTCTTGACAACCAAATTATCCACAGATGAGCCTCCAGACCCTTTTGTGAGAAAGTATGTGGCACCTGCATAGCCAGGGGGTGGGAGAGTCTGAGGCAGCAGGTGGGAAGGGGCACTGGCATTGCCTGACTGAAGTGGAACTGCTCCTGCTTCCATGGCTGCGAGCTGTTAATTGGATGGCATGGCAGGCTCCCTGCCAAACCCGCTGTGAATCTGTCCCAGAGCTTTCTTCCAGTTTCTCTGATTTTTAGGTAATTATACACAACACACAGCTACAGATTAATGTATCTTCTGAGCAACATAAGGCATTTCTCTCCGAACTCTTACTGGGAAGCTTCTAACAACAACATTAACAAAAGCAACAAAGAGGCCCACAGCTTATAATGTGCCAGGCACTGCTCTACGCCCTTTACACATATTACCTCATAAAATCCTTAACAGCAGCTCTATGAGAAAGGTACTGTTATTATTCTTACTTTATAGAAGAGGAAACGGGATCAAAGAGGTGAGTGACCAAGGTCACTGAAGTGATCCGTGAATGAGATTCGAACCAGTCTGCCTCCAGAGCTCATGGTCTTAACCATATTAACTATATCTTTTCTTTTAATTTTAGCAGAGAAAAATTCTTCAATTGATTAAAAAATGCTAATAAGTAGCTCTAAACAGCCTGTAATACTTTTCAAATTAGACTTGAAACTTTAATTTTATATGAAAAGACCCTTGGGTTAAAGTCCCCAGTGGAACTCCGGTGTAAAATGTGTCCTGGTTTTATTGCATTTTAGTTCACCTTTTGATTTATCTTTTGATTTCTGAAGGCAGCAGGTTTGGCAAATTCCTAAATGGTCTGAAATGAGGGACCTAATAACTACTAACCATGTTTTCCATTGACTTGTACTGGTCTAGAAGTTTTTCAAGGATTTTTTTCTTATTGTTAAGTCACAGGTTCTTGGGAGTTCACTAGATCTTACAATAAAAGCAGATTTTGATAAAGTTAGTGGGATCATGAATACATAAAGCTTCTAAATTAGGAATGGCAGTTTTAGCAAGCTCGGGGTGCTAATCAAGGTAATGGAGAGCTTCTGTGATGAATGTGTCCGATATCCTCTCAAGATGAGAATTCATTTCGTGAGCAAGTATTCGCTAAGCAGAAAACAAATCACACAACTGGAATTCAGCATTCTCATCATATGCACTGTTTCGTTGCAGTATGATCTGTAACTTTTCCTCAGGCTGAACACTCTGAATAGGTAGATATTAAAGCCCAGCTAAGAGTTACGGGAATGTCAGACACATAATTCTTAGATTGCACCATTCTTCTGTTGGGTTGGGAGAAACATCCTTCTGACATTGATAGAATCTAGTTGACAGCCTCAGGCTACCTTTGCAAATTGGGCAGTGATGGATGAGATCAGAGATTTCTTCAGGGCCTGGCGTACGACTGAAACTGCCACTGCTGCTGCCAGCCGCTCTGCCATCCACACTGCCTTTCCCAGAACCTCCTGGCTGGAGTCACAGGTGCCTGTCTGCAAGCTTAGCCTCACTAGCAGGTACAGGGTAGGGTTCATCTTACTGTTACAGATTTAAGTACCCATTCGCCCCCAAGCTCTGACCATCCTAAGCCTCCTGACTCTGCTGACCCTGTGCACATGGCTAGGCCCTGGCCTAGGTCTTCCTGCCTAGTTCTCAAGTTGTCTCCTGAGACTTGACCAGGTCCAACACTTGGCCTCACTCTTGCCAGCCTCCTAGCTGATGACACTCGGTGTTCCTGCATCAGGGCCTGGTGCAGGGCAGACCAAGGTACATGGCATGCAGAGGAAGCTGGATTGTGCAGGCAGAGCACACGGGTAATGAGTAGATGTTGAACCCTGAACAATCTAATCAAGGGGCTGGTAAGAGTGGGGCGAGTGGGAGGCCCTCTGTACCCTCTAACCAGGGCACACTCCAACATCTAAACGCTTCCGCAGTCTTTTCAAGTCTATTCAGCCAGTAAAGCCCACAGCTCAGGTGTCATTGCCTCCCACTCCCAGAAGGTCCTCTAACTCCTACATGCCACGTACAAAGTCTTACTCTGCTGTAGGATTCTGGAGCATAGTTAGTTGTTTGCATGAGGAGAGGGATAACACAACAGAGAAGAATATGGGCTTTGGAGTCAGATGGGGTTTTATATCCCTCTTCTAGTAACTTTGTGACCTTAGGCAAGTAACTACCCTGGGTCTCGGCCTGCTTATCTTTAAGTGAGGCTTTTGAAACACTTGCAGAGATGATGCTATGTGCTCACACAGTTTCTTCTGAGGCAGACAGGAAGACCACATGTATCAGCCTCCTCTGCAGTTGGGTCGGTGCCAGGCCTGACTTTTGAAAATATCCCACATGATCTTTGCACAAGCAATAAATAAAACTTTATTTTTAACCACTGGGTATTTGCTACTCCAGCAGAGCACACAGCCTGTCTTTACACAAATAGGTAAGTAAAACACTTAGCATGGCTTGCCTTGCATGAAGTAAGGTAATGAGAGCTCAGACTATCGTAGTGGCAGTGGAGCTGTAAAAAAGTGGTAGATTTGCAAATTACTCTGGCGAGAGAACTAACCCGACCTAGTGATGGGCTACATGTAGACGGTAAGGGAATAGGAAGTGTAAAGAACTACTCCACATTTTTGACTTGAGCTGCTGGATGCCAGGAAGGGCTATTTTCAGAGATGGGGAGATGAAAGAGAAGTTGTGGGGCGGATCAGGAGTCCTATTTTAGACATTAAATCTGAGATGTCAGTAAGACACCCAAGTGAAAAGAAGGAGTTCAGAATTAAATATAAGAGTCTGGGAACAGTCTGAGCTAAAGATGGGAAATGAAAAGTCATCACCTTATAGTTGGTATTGAAAGATATGGAAATAAAGACCCACACCAAGGCCTGAGAAATAAGGTATTCAGAGGTCTGCAGAGGGTATATACTAGTTCTCTTTCCTTATGTCCTTCAAGGAAAGGACAGGAACCATTACTTCTTCTGAATACTGCATCAACTTTTTTTGATATTTATATTCTAATTCTATAGTTAAGAAGTACCTCAGACTGCAAAGATTGAGCCCAGTCTATTAACCCATAAATGCTGTTACTGGTTTTAAACCCTGTAAATTCTAGTGTGTCTTTTTGCCATCATAATTATACCATAAGTATAATTAACTGTATATGCCTAGAGTTCCTGGATGAACCTCATTTTTATGCCTGCTTAAAAAGAGCGAGACAAAAAAGCGGGACAGATAATGATTTTAAAAGATGAGTTCACTTCGGTTTTCTAATTTACAGTAAGAAAAGAACAAAATAATTTTCTTCCTTGTTCATAAGATCAATTTGTTTTGATAGGTTATCTTATAAAAATATGCTTTGAATGATAATTCCATAGATAATTTCATTCCCAGTTCAATGAAGTAAGCATTCACTGAACATCTACTGTAGGCCAGAGGCTTGGCTAAGTAGCAGAGGGGAGGAATGGGATGACAGGCCCAGCTTCCCAGGAGCAGAACTTTTTAAAAACCAGTTTCCCTGGTCCTGTGTAGCATAATATAGTGAACTTCTGAAATCTTAAATTCAGATAGACATCTTAATGATAACAGCTCTCAATTCTCTTTTAGTAGCTGTGGTGTTCAGAGACTGGGAAACAGCAGTGCCGCTTGCTGGGTATGTGACCTTGAACAAATCATTTAACCTTGCTGGGCCTCAGTTTCCTCATCTGTATAACTGAATGGTGCACCTACCAGATTAAGAGATTTAAATAATGCAGAAATGTCTTCCAAAGAACTGTAAAGCAAAGGGCACAACATATCTAATAACTGTTTCCAACCCTAAAACACAGAGCAGAGATATTTTTTAGACACTCAACAATGACAGCCACATCCCCAGTAAACTTTCTTAACAGCATATTCTTAGTACCTGAGCTAGACCTCCAGCATGTATCAGTGTTACGTCAGGCATCCAGGAGCATCCAGGAACCACCAAGCCATAGAGCGCCATCACAAAGTAAGGGACGGAATAGAACAGATATGCCAGCATCTACATTGAACAGAGGAATAACGTCATCAGTAAATTAATAGTTAATCTGGCCTTACGAAAAGCACAACATTTTCATCAATTAACATTTTCACCTTAGAAAACGTTAACTCCTATTTCCTACATGGTATCACATTTTCCCATTCTTAAAAAAAAAAAGAAAATTAATTTTAGAAAAATCTTAGGCTTCATAACTACTTGACCTGGATTTTAGCATAAGCAGCAGGATCCTTTAGGTAGGGCTCTTGAAATTGCGTATATAATCGGCAGAGCTCAGCTGGGCAATCCAAAGCAATCTACAAACAAAAATGAATGCATTATAAAGATACAGTCACATCTGGTTCTTATGTTTGCTGATAAGGCTAAACGTGCCAGGTTTCGTCACAACCTGCTTTCTGTTTAACAAAAGCTATTTTAGAAGCTCATCAGTAAAAAAGGAAAGAAAATATTCTACAGATTTACTCTGAAGAGATTAAGCAGAGGTTAATAGTGGAGAAGGAAATGGAAACTAATGCCCTGTTCTTGGGATCTTCCGAGTATTCAGTTTAAATGTCTAGGTTTGGCTAACCAAAGCACAGCTTGCTTTAGATTATCAGTTTCACTTTTCCTGGGAATAACTCAACAACTATTCCCGGCAGGAAGAAAAGTACATTTCTATGCCAAATTCATCTTAACTGTGCTTTGCAAGATTCAAAAAATAGCATCCTCCTATCTCCAGCGCCTCACAGAGTAAATGGCCTTTGGGGGCAGTAAAGGATAATGATTTGAAAGTGAGGTCCTCTCTGAAGCCACCTCCTATATCCACTTTGAAAGAGGGCAGAGCAGATTTAGTCACGGCAGAGTGGACTTTAGGCCACAGAACAGACGAAGTGTCTCTCTGGCACATTACTGGGTCCCCTCTGAGACCTCCCTCAGGTACCATTCCTTGTGTCCTTAGCCATAAATGCTGTCCCACCTAAATAACATGAACACGTCAGTGGCAGAGTTGGTAAAAATGGGCCCCAACCTAAAAGCCCCACCTACCAAAGGGTACACACTCGCCCATGCACACGTTTTTCTCATGTGCACAGGGGAGTGGAGATGGCTATGCAAGAAAACAGTTGGGGCTCATTTTTATTGTTGCTGGTTTTGTTCTTTTGACTTTAGGAATTACAGCAAACTAAACAAAGAATGGTTTCAGTGCTCTGTGGTCTGAGCAAAGCCTATGGCCCTGCTTTCTCCTTTACTTCCCTTCCCCATGCCACTCCTACTAGCCAACTCTGCTCCAGGAAGTTTCTGATGATCCAAAGAGGGAGACAGCTCTTAAGACTACTCACCCTGACCCAGCTAGCCGCCCCAAAACAATGAATCAGCTGCATCAGTTTACACTTGCCACTCTGCCCCCCAACTGCTGTGCAATGCCAGCAGCCTTAGAACAGTGATTGTCATTAAAGCTGAATATAATTACCCGTATAATTCTGGCTGCTCAAATTTATTGCTACTGAGAATAAACCATGAAACTGGGATATTGTGAAGGATCCTTGATCAATAAAAATAGTAAGAGCAATCACTTACTGAGCGCTTATTAGGTATAAGGCCCTCTGCAAGTGTTCGATGTGCCTTATCATTTAATCTTCAAACAGTACTGTAAGGTAGGTACTGTTACTTTACACAGGAAGAAACTGAGGATCAAAGAGGTTGAGTGATTTTTCCAAGGCCACACAGCTAGTAAATGGCCAGGAGTCTAACACTGTACTCTGGTACCCCTTCCTCAATCCCATCTCCCTACCCCTGAGAACACATGCATGCTCTGTGCCACAGTTTGACTAGTCTTAAGTTACCACCCTTACCAAAGATACTTAAATCAGAAACATCAAAGGAACCAAAAGAATGAGACTAATGGCTAATTTTTCAGGTACAGAGCTTGATCCAAGGACCTGAAGGAGGTGGTATGGAGCAGCCCAGAAGGGACCTACCCCTTTGGGAGGAGAGGTCTGGGGTGAGGGTAGGAGAGTCAGGAAGCAGGTCCAGGCCTCCAGGCTCTAATGGGAGGTATGTTTTGTTAGTGCACTAGGAAATCTGATTAAAAATATACTTTATGTTATTATGATCTCTTATGCTTACCAAGCCTCTAAACAGGCAAAATCCAGTTGCCAGAAGGAGACACACAACCAACATTAAATCACATGGTCTTCTCAGCAGATCTTTCGCTTGGATTTCTTGAATGACCTAAAGTAGAGTTGGTAACTAATGAGCAGGCCCAAGGTGCCAAAGAATAATCTGAGATCTACTGAAACACAGATACAATGATGATGGGTGATAAGAGAATGTTGAAGATTCAAAACCACTAGCCATGCAACAGGAAAATAATTTCACCCCTCAAGTCTCAGTTCCTCATCTGTGAAATGAGACTGGGCCAGGTGATCTCAAAGGGCCCTTCTGGCTCTATGAGGCCATATTTTTTTTTGAAAAAGCATTTTATGATTATAAATGTAAAATATACTCATTTTTTAAAAATAAACCATTAACCCATCATACTTCTATTAACAGTTGTTATATTTTCCAGTCACATATATATAGTTATATATATATATATATATACACACACACACACTGTACTACATATGTATGTATGATATATAATCTACATTTATTTTTTCACAAAATTAGGACTTAATGTATAAACAATTTTGCATTTGTTCTCTTGCCTCTCACTATCTACCTATCAGTACTTTACCACATTATTAAAAATTCTTCTAAAACAACATCACATGGAAGTGCCATATCTCTGATTATTGGACATTTAGGCATTTTCACTGTTACACTTAATGCGATGATGAGCAACTTTGTACATAAATCTTTGACAGCATCTCTGATGATTTTCTTAGGATAGTGCCCTAGAAGTAGAATTACTAGATTAAAAAGTTAGATTTGTTAAGGTTGATAACACTGCCAGGTGGCTTTGCAGAGCGATTCTGAATTTATGTTCCTACCAGCACTGTATGACAATGCCTATTTCTCCCCAGCCATCACTGTGTTTTAACAGTTTTTTAAATGAACAGTCTATGTGTTTTACAACATGAACGGAATGGTGTTGATACACTGACATGGAGCCGAGTGAGGACCAAGGCTATGGTTACTGTTCGCTTATTTTTTAACAACCACCTCATTCCTCAAGAGGGTGTAAGGGAGTACCAGTTGTCAATGTGCCAAGCTGAGTTTACATAGCATGTGTCTAAATGTTTACAAATGAAGTGTCTGTAAATTAAAATGTATTTTAATGAATTCTATTGTAAGTCTTTTTGTAAAATGAAGAATTGTGTTCTGATTATCTCTAGTAACTCATATTTTCATATATCAATTTTGCTTAAAGGATCTTGCTTAAGGATCTAATACCTATGAAAGGAAGAGAAACTTAGAAAAATGTCACTAGCTTAGAAATGAAGACCTTAACAGAGTACCTGCCCGGCCAGTATTGTTTCACCTTGACCACCTCGGCTGTGAATGGAAGGGAGGTGTCTCAGAAGACGTCCTGTAGCCAGTCTCCATGTGCCTGGATCTCTTGGTAATCAGACCCTATGTCTGTGTGTGCTACCTGGAACAGCAGTATATCTCCAGCCTCCCTTTGGGGCAGTAGTGCATAGATATCTCTGAAGGAGGTACCCAGGTGCTCAGACTCCAGGCTGTTAACAGCCCCAGACAAACCTCACGCTCCACACACTAATGCGGAATCTCATGGGAAGAGCCAGTGTAACCTCTGGCACAGGAAGTTCCAAAAAGCATGGCCTGGCCAATCAAAGCAGATCTATTCACGCAGAAACAGACCATTCTGGCCACCATAACTAAGGTGTGAACCAATGCTGCAGAATCAGCACAGTCACACTGATTGAATGCTCCAAAGGCTCCATCCCTGGAGGCATGGTTCAATCCAGTATCCAGTGGATATGAGTAAGCCCTGTGAGTCTGAGAACAGGTTACATTTAACTTAATAAAATCACCTTTGAGGGATAATTATAATTTTCTGATGGCTGATTATAGATTCTGAAACCAGCCCAGACAGGAAGACAAGTATATGGTATGCTTAAGAAAAAAGCAGGGCAAATGCGTGTTCCATACTTCCCTATTTAAAAGAGAGAAAAAAAGAGAAAGTCAAAAGTATATCCAAACACAACATGTAGAACACCTCCCCGTCTCAAGTCATCTAAAATTTTGATATAGGCCAGACAGTATTTTTAATGAGACCAAAAACAGGTCAATTTTAAATTATTAGGTGTTTATTAACAGGCATGCCCTATCTACAGCACTTTAAAAATAGACAATATAATATCCTGATTTCTTGCATGCATAAATAACTCTTCTACATTAGCTTTCAAGAATCTTAATTTTCAAGTACATTTATCAAGTTCCCATAGTGTGTCAAGAGTTATATATAATACAAAGAGTTGTAGGAAATATTTTCACACTGAATGTAGCCACAAACACAATACTTACCCCACTAGATCCTTCTAAAAGTCAGGAAACACTGATATTAGATAGTCTAATTGTTCAGTGTACACTTCTGAAAACTGCCCAAAAGCATTTCTTAGAAGGTGAGATGGAAGGGAAAAGGAGTAATTCTGCAAAACAGCCATTTTGGTATACTTGGAATTTCTTGGTTCTATTACAACCAAAATAGCTTCCCTATTTAAAAACAATTCCTATTGTTTCAGAAAAGGAAAGTGAACTTTAAGATAAAGTTTCTTACCTACAATGTTTCCTGGCACAAAAACAACAATGCTCATAATAATAGATCCGACCCAATATAGGCCAATGGTTCTATAACTTTCCCTGTAATGAAAAAAATCCTGACTTAACACATTTGTCTTAGAATACTATTAGTATAAGATGCTCCACAATATTATCTTTGTTCTAACTAGTAAAGTACATGAGCCAAAATGTACTGAATCAAGAGTAATAAATACAAGGAACCCTGGTGATCAAACTGCATTTCCATATGTGATATGCTATAGAACCCTCTTTGTGTCCTTTTGAATAGGAAATTATGCTTGCTACACTGGTCTGTTAAACCATACCATGGTCATCACTATCAAAGGAGTACTGCATTTCACTATTACTTATGAAACTCACAGCATGAAAGTAAAAAGAAGGTTCACAGAAAATTGGATCCATATTTTAAACCATTATGAGTAGGATGTTAAGTGGACTTTCCCTGGTGTCACAGGATTTTGGCCAAAGCCCCAGAGATAAGTATAATAAGTGATACCTACCCCATGTTCTGAAGGAGCTGCTAGACACATACCCCTAATCTTAATAGGCGATGTTGACAAAAAGTGTTTGCAACTGATAACTGACAGTCACCTCCATAAGGGGCCATGAGAAATTCAAAAAGAGATCCTCTGATGGGAAAGAGAAGTGGAGAATACTGTGTGCTTCCTGCCCTGCCCTACCCCCCAAGCCACATGCATCAGATCCCAAGAGGCCCGTTCACAGTGACTGGGATTCTCAGCAGGGGGACAGACCAGAATCTTCCTCCCCAACTGGATGCTAACTGAACCATAGAAACACTGGCCCCCTCCTGACAGCAAGCAGAGCCTGAGCCTTCTCAGAAATACCTGATGTGTTCTCTGGAGCTTGGGAACATTCATGAAGAGATGGGCGGGGGGGGCCTAGAAAAGTCCAGAAATTAGTTGGAACTGTCCTTGAGTGGATGACTGAGGGCATGGGAGGGGCACAGGACAGTTGGTCAAGCTGAATTTCAACCTGGTGTGGGGCAAAATGCACGGCTTTCTCTAACCTGGAGCCAAGGGGAGGCCTGGGAAGGTAGCTGGGCTTGAGCCATCTTTTAAGGATCCCCACCCCAAAGGGCGTGGCCCCAGCAGAAAGAAGCTGTGGGTGTACCACCATGGGCAGGAGAGTCACACAAATTCAGTCTGAGAGAGCATTGCTCATTTCAGGGATCAGTGTAATGCAGAGGTTCCTTCCTGTGGTAGGGGACTCCAAGAACCCACACATGTGCCCCACAAGACACAGCCAGCATATCATAACAGAGGCTACCAATTCCCAGAAAGCAGCAATTGTCGTGTTAGACTCTGCCCCTCTTCCTTTAACCCCATGTACATACACACATGCTCCCAGAGGAGCCAGCCGCAGAGCAAGCTGAGAAGGAATCAAGGGACAGACCACGCACCCCAGCCTCAAAGCAGGCCGCTAAGCTTCAGGGGTAAGCCTGAACTGGAGGGAAAGAGAGCTCTGAACTGATAGGAGTTTGAAGTTTTGAATTACTATGTGCTGGGCTTTAATTTCTGAAAATGAGACTGCTCTTAGAACATAATCAGAAAGTTAAGGGGTCTGCCCGAGCTGTCCATCATGGCAGAGGAGAGATCCAAAGGCATATGTTCGAAAGGCAGTGACACAAGGAAAAATAAAGCCATGTCTAACTTGTCTCCATAGACCCTAGATTCATGTCCATGTGTACCTGCCTGTGTCTGTGCCTCTATACATCCATTTTCCTTACCTACCCGCCTATCGATTGCTAAGGTGACAAAGGCACACCCACCAGGCGAACTGACTTACTCCCAGGCTATGGCTGCCACCATCACCAGATACATCAGATAATGAGCAGAGCCATCCCAGTAGCAGATCATGTGCCCATAGGCCGTGTTCAGATACGGTTCACCCTAAGGAAAGCATTAAACAGAAGTCCACTTTAAATATGACTCAGACACTTCAACACAGAACACCAGACCTGTATTGAAAGTAAAATAAAGCATCAGAACATCTTCGTCTGCTAAAATGAAACTATTCTTAATCCCATACAATTACACAATTGGTAGAAACATGAAAATATACATTTACCCTGGAGCCGCCAGAACTAGGGTCTGCCACAGGGAGTGGAATTAAGAGAATGCCTGGCCTATGCTAGGTCAACACAGGTGTGCACAGTGATGCAAAACTGATGGCGTTACAGGCAGTCCTGGCCGCATGACGAACTCACTGAGGCCAAGTCTAATCTGTGACTAAAGGTGTTTGGCTCTGGGCAGAAGGGGTGGCCAGGGAAGACCCTGCTGACCAGGGCCACTGGCTGACCTTCAAAATTCATACTGACCCAGAGGCTTGCTGGGATGAGTGTGAGGAAGGCACACCTTTCCCCCGCTTCTGTCCCCAATGCAGGCACAGACCGGCAGGCACTATACTCAGAGCTTCACACCCAACCCCTCATTCAACCTTCCCAACACCACTATGGGATAGACACGACTGACTCCATTTTACAGATGAGCAAACAGAGGTTGGAAGAGGTTACCTGACCTGCCTAAGGTCACACAGCTAATTACTAGCAGAAACTATACTACCAAGAAGAGCTATACTTCTGAGAAATTTTTAATTTTATAAACACAGATTATATGATGAACGACATTTCCCTTTCCCAGGTGCTTATGTTTCCAGGTGGCTACTGTAAAATCACTGTCAAACTTGCCTAGGTTTTTAGTGTCATTCTGGCTCCAACTCACTTTCCTTTCTTCTTTCTCCCACATTTGTGATCTCCTGCCTTGTTTCAGATGTTTTCCTAAGATGCCTTAAATCCTTTCTACAACAAGGAACACAGCAGATCAACCAGCCCATCAGTCAACCAACCAAGCAGGGGATTCTCTGAAGCTCTGCACTCCCCTGGGGCAAAGACTGCTCTCTGTCATCTTGCCTCAAAAATCAAATCAAGTGAAAATCACAGAGGTGGAGGAAACAACGTGAGTCATACTTCAGTACCCATGCCTGGCCCACATCTTTTCTCTCTGACATGCTTTGATTGGATAATACTATCCAAGTTCATGGTTTTAATCATTGATGCGTACACACCTGGCTCTCACGGCCAGTGCTGACCTCTCCTGGTGGCTTGATGGGTATCTTCAACTGTCTGGTCTGTGGGCCCTTCAAACTCACCTTACCTCCTTTAACTCATTGGCTTCCTCCTTCAACCAAGCCCCACCTGGCCTCTCTATTTTTATGGCAACACCATTCAACTTACCCAGGTCAAAACCACAGGGTCGTTGTTCATTCCTTGTTCTCTTATGCAGTCTGTTGGCAAGTCCTATCAATTTTACCTCTATAATGTCACCCCAGGCAACCCTCCCTCTCGTCATGGCCTAGTTCAAGACCTCAGTGCCCCTCACTGGACCTTTCCCACATGGTCTTCCTACCTCTCTCCTCTCCTTCCGATTCACCTCACCACTGCCCTGGCTCTTGACATGTCACTTTTCTGTTCAAAAACCTGCCAAAGCTGCTGGTGGCTGCAACACCAAGCCCCACCTCCTCTTATCTGGCAGCCGGGTCCCTGAGCCTGGCCCTGCAGACCCTCCCACAGTTACACCCCAGCCCCCCATCTCATACCCTGTCTCACCACCCTCACCAGCTCAACCTCCAGGCCCTCTTGGCAGCTGCCTCCTTCCTGAAACCTCCCCGCTCTGGACTCAGTGGCCCTGCACTCTCCAGGCTTTCCTTCTGCCTCTTCGCCTGTCCCCTCACAGTCCACTTCAGAGGCTCCTGATCTTCTGGCCACGGTCTCCAAAGTTCCACCCTCGGCCCTCTCCTCTCTACCCTCTCCTTTCCTCTCAGACCTTCAGGTACCAACTATACTCTGATGGTCCTTGTTCTCCTCCCCAAGCTCAACAGCTGCAAAGCCCTGCCAGCTGGGACACCTGCCAGGATGTTCCTTACCCACCTCAAACCCCACACGTCCCCAGATGAACTCAGCATCATCCCTGCACACGTGCGCCCCAGGCTGGCAGTGGGGAGACATATGCTGTTTCTCCTCTCTAAGCCTCCTTTTTTTTTTTTTCTTTTTTGGCTGTGCCGTGCAGCTTGTGGGATCTTAGCTCCCCGACCAGGGCTGGAACCCACGCCCCCTGCAGTGGAAGTGCAGTCCTAACCACTGTACCGCCAGGGAAGTCCCTTCTCTCTAAGCCTTTGCCCACACTGTCTCTTCTCCTTGGCATGCCCTCCACCCCCTAGTCTATCTGGAAAACGTTTATCATCCACTGCCACTGCCATTTTTAAAGAAGCCGAGGGCAGCGTCACCAACTCGCTGAGGCTCCCCCGAGTGCTCCCAGAGTCAGTTCTTCCTCAGCGCACACTGTGCCTGGCGTGAGCCTCCGTCTCTGCGCCTAGGACCATGCCACCTCACTGCCACATTAGCTCCTGGAGGGAGAAAGCAGGTCTTGTGACCCCCACAGTCTGCTCACCGAACATCTGTGGAACTGCATTTCCCCTTTTGTCCTTCTCCGGTTGAATAACACCAGCGTTCTTCCAAAAGCAGGAATCAGGATGGCACCTCAGCCCTTACTCTCCCCATTGCCCCCAACTCATCCCCGAGACCTACTCATTCCAGCCGCCCAAGTTCTCTGAAGTCCGTCCGTCCTTCTCTACTGTCCATGCTTGGCCTCCGTCTGGGCCATCTTCATGCCCTTGCTGGCCCTGCAAAAGCCTCCTGACTGGTGTCCCAACTTATGACATCGACCCTTCCCGTCAAGCCCATCCTTCTCAGAGCTGACTGCACTGTTCGCTGACTTAACATCTTCCCTCACATGCGGGACAAAATCCAAACTCCCTTAGCTTGCACACAAAGCTCCCCATTGTTTGAAACACAGATGAAGACTACACTTCCAGCTCTGCTCCTTATTTCCTGTGTGACCTTAAGTACGTTACTTAACCTCTCTGGGGCTGGATTCATCACACCATAAAATAAGGAAAAAGGACTAGCTCTGTCAGGTGCCAGGTAGGTCTATCATGCTGTGATGGGGGGAGGAGTGCATGTTCATCCCCACAATCAAATGGCTTTATTAACTGCCTCAGTGTTTGGGGCTTTATACATTTAAGACTGACCTGGGCTTTCTTAGAGAGTAGTGTATTAATAACAGTAGATACACAGATACTGGATTCATTTAAAGTAACCTCATTTATATTAAATACAAGTAAAGGGGAAAGGTGGTGGGTTGGGTGTGAGGAAGGAGCTGTAAGACCGAACGCCGAGGAGAACTGCCTCCTATGACCCAGTCCTAACTTTCTGCTTCATCTTCCACGTGACTAAGTGTCCTGTGTCTATGGCAGCAAATGAAATACCGTGTGTCATCCCTGCTTACACTAAACGAAAGGACTTCCATCTCGAGCAATGCTGTCGGGGTCGCAGACCCTTTAGTTCGAGGCTCGTACTCACTACCGACCCCGTACCTCTCTCAAGTAGTATGTCATGAAGCCATCAATGATCCCATCCTGTTCCAGTCCTATGATGAGGTTCACCACGCTGGTAAATCCAAAAACTGCATACACTAGAGCAAAGAAAGCAGGAGTTCAAAAAGCCGTAGCTCAGGGGACGTTGCCTAAGAGCCTGGCGTTCACCAGTAATGATTTATTTTCATGTTTTCCAGAAGATACTGTGGACGTTGTCAATATGGACTAAAAGAACGTACCTCCTGTGCATGCAGCTGGATCTCTGCCCGTGTTGTGGAGCTGGGAGAGGACACCCCCCGACCCAGGGAGTAGCGAGTGACAAAGTCACCCACTGACTGTCCCAGAGGATTCTACCAGCCTGCCCCACCCATCCTCCACTTCCTACACGTGGCTGCCAGGGCCACATCTGCATCCCACCTGGGTAGCGGGAACAAAACCATTAACCAGTGGCCAAGGAAGCACAGAGGTGACCCCCAGGTTTAAAACATGGACTCAAAAGAGATCATTCATCTCAATGGTTACCAAGCAGTCTGCCTCACAGTGTGTCCAACGCACTTGCTTTATCCCACACTGGAGATCCGAAAGACAGACAGCGGCTGACGTGCAAGTGACAGTGGCTTTAAGAAGAAAGGCCAGTGATTTTTTTAAAAAATGGATACGAGATGGAACCGATGAATGTTAAAGAAGGAAAGCCGTAGCATCTTAGAGAATCTCACTAAGGTTGTGAGAATCTCCTCAACGGGCTGAAAACTACCAGCAACAAACAGCTTAGGAATAATACTTTTTAAACAGTGAGTGGTCAAATTTAGTGTGTGGCAGTTTGTCAATAAAGCTGCACGTTCAAGTTGTAACAAATCGGTGTCAAACTATGTGATGGGCCTGGATGGTAGAAAAATCTGATGATGAGTATCCAAACAGCTGTGAAAAAAGAAACGGAGAGGAGAGAGGGGAAGGTTAACTCACAGAGAAGGGAAGCTGGCCTTGCCCTGAGTCTGCGTTTACATCTTCCCCAGAAGGAGCAGAAGGCCCACGCGTGCCCGGCCCTGGAGACCCTGCCTCCCCGGGCCTCTGTGCAGGCCTGTGGTCCAGATCCCGCTGACAGCGATGAGCCATCAGGTGATCAGCCACTGTGTGTCTCCCAGGAGAGGAAGCCTTCAGCACATGCTCATTCGGCTATTCTACCAACAATCGCCGATGCCAACAGGAGTGTCAGACGCTGGGTCAGAGATGGCAAGGACATTCTCTGCCCTCCAGTCTGGCCCTGTGGCTGCAGTGACAGACATGAGGACAGAGGGCTGAGGGGGTAGGAGCAAGGGTCCTCCACCCTGAGGAGTTGGGAGAGACATGAGCGCAGCTAAGCGTGGGCTCCACGGAGTGTGGAGGGGGTCGGGGGAAGACGGCAGCAGGAGACCAGTCTGCAGAGGGGGGCAGAGGCCAGATCAAAGGCAGGTGGAGTGGGGCCTTGAACTCAGACAGGCCCAGCTCATCTCCTGACTGGCTGTCAGGTCTTAGGTAAGTTACATCATTTCTCTAAGTTTCAGCATTTTTTACATGCAAGTTGGGAGAAATTGTGCGGGTCAGTGCTGTCTCACTAACTGTGACCTTGACCACGTTTCTTAGCACCCTCTGAGCCAGATTCTTCATCTGTGCAGGGAGGACGTTTGTTGTGAGGATTAAATAAAATGATACTGCTAATGCGGTCAGAGTCACACCAGGCACACCACAGGTGCTCAATCAGTGGTGTTTTTATTCCTTTAACATACAAGCGTACTTGCCAGGCAGTGGTCTAAGTACTTTACAACTAGTATCTAATGTTGGTACCAACCCTCCATGCTAAGTATTGATACTATTATTTTCCTCATTACACAAATGTGCAAACTGAGGCTCCATATGGCTACGTTCCATGCCAGGTGGAGGGCGCTGCAAACAGCAAGCTGAAGGCAGGAAGCCAGGAAGGAGCTGGTAAAAGAGCCGAGGTCAGAGGTCAGAGCATGGCTGGGGACAGGGGAGAGGAACGGAGGGGTGTCCTGCCTGGCCCTGGCAGTGACCTTCCCTCCACCAGGCTCCCAGCTGTGACAGGGTGGGGTCCACAGCCTGGGAGAGACTTTAGCTTACAGGAAAACAAAAATACTCCCACTCTTCCCGCCGCTTTACCAGGGGGCTCAGAGTATTCACAACCACAGAGGGAAAGAGACTGAGGCCCCAGTGTTGTGCTCTTAAGTGGACACAAAGTGTTTCCCTCCCATGGAGACATACCATAGAACAGTGGGTCCCGGGGTGGTTTCCTTTTGACCAGGACACGAGCCAACAGGGCTACCAGGAACAGGATGAGGGCAGCCACCCCTACAATTGTCCAGGAACTGCAACGACCAGAACAGGGAGGTGGTCACTTATCAAAATAAACACACTGGTGTATGGAATTCCCTGGCTATTGAATGCATTCTCTCACAGCTCTGCCTCTGCCTATCCCTCAAGCACTGTGGAGTTCATGAAGTTTATCCGCAGCACTTGGGCCCCTCTGGGCTGCCCCTGTGACTTTCAGGGACCGGAGGTACTAGGTCCTCACTCTCCTGTCATCCTGCCCACCTGGGTGAACCATGTGTCCAAGCGCCCTCTGCTGCTGTCCCGCTGCCTCTGTCCACCTGCTCCTCCAAGCCCTCTTCCCAGTGTCTGACAGGTCTAACCACTGAATCTGCCTCCTCTCTCAGGGCCAGCTGGAAACCCTCAGACCGAGCTCCAGGGAACACACAGGAGTCACAACTACATACACCTTCTCGGTAGACAAGCCACAGGCTGTGCGTATAATCAAAGGGGCCAGAGGACGAGGCCAATCCAAGGAGGGAAGAGCCTAGGCCGGGCCTAAAGCCAGAATGATGCCAGCACCCCAACACCCAGGAAGCCAAGCCAACATGCAACCCCATGCCCAGGAAGCCAGGGTGAGGCTAGGTTGGGCACAGCCCCTGGTCTTTCTCCTGGGAAAGGGCGTGGCACCAAGGAGACTGGGGAACAAAGCCCCTCCTCAGCAGGACAGCACTAGGGCACGAGACTTGGTGGAGTTAGCAGTCAAGGGACCTGGAGTCTAGTACCTACTCTGCCACTCCCTGTGTGACCTTAGGAACATCATGTCATTTCATCATCTGTTTTTTAATTCATTAAAAGATATATTGAGGGAAAATGCCTTGCACACCCCTCTGTGCCAGGCACTGTGGATGAAAAAGAGACCCCTGTCTACATGGGGGGAACCTATCTCAATAGGCTCTGAGCTTCCTCACCCAGAAGGCTACCTCCAGTCCTAAGAGATGTTCTCTCTCTCACTCCTCCACACCAACAAGGCATCCAGTTCTAGACAAAGCACCACCTGGCCCACTCCCATGGCCTGCTCCACTCCTCAGTAGCCCTTGAGAGAGGCTGCAAGCACCACTCCTTAGCCAAGAGCCCTCCACACCATCACAGAGGATTTCTGGATAACGTTTGCCACATGCCCCGGGACTTCTGGAAAGTATCCTTCACAGCCCACCAATACCTACTAATATCTGAGGGACGAACTTATGCTGAAGTTCACTCCACACACCTACAGCTGGAATGGGTGCTAGGCACCAGTCAGAAATCTGCCCCTAATGTCAGAGAGGTCAGTCAGGAAGTGATCCAACTCCTTGCAGGTAGATGGACCCCAAGGAGACTGGCCCCAGGTCCAGGAAAGCTGTGTCCCCAGCACCTGGCCCCAGGACCCACTTAAGAGTAAAGGAGTGGGCTCTGGGCATCAGCAGTGCCCAGATTTCCAAATGCCACCCTAGACCTACAGAATCAGAATACTTCAGGGGCGGGGTATGGGAACGTGCAACCTTTTCCAAGAAACCTGGATGAGTATGCACAGAAAGTCTGCCTCGGGACCTCTTTTAAGGTGTTCAGGAATTGATGGATGAATGAGGGAGGGAAGGAAAGGGAGAGGAAGAAAGGAAGGAGAAATGGGATGGATGGATGGTAGATGGATGGACAGATGGATGGATAGTTGGATGGATGACAGACGATGGGTGGTGGGTGGAGGAATGGATGATGGATGGTGAATGGATGAATGGATGGACGGACGGATGGACAATGGACGGTGGATGGATGGGTGGACGGACGGATGGTGAATGGATGACATAGTTCTATGACAAGAATGAGGATGACCATGTCAGTGACCAGGTAAGAAACTGAAATAGGAGGTTTCTAGCGGTACACATCAGTGGATGCTCCAGGCTCCTCCTGTAGGGATGAGACAAAAGAGGAGAGGATGGAAGAGGAAGCTAATGTGGGTCAGGAACATGATGCTGGGCTGAAGCATCCGGTGAAGAGGGAAGAGGATAGGTGTGTGATGTAAGCTGACGGACATTTTAATCACAGCCTGAGACAGGTAGTGGCCAGGAGACAACTCCCATCCCTGCTCCTACCAAGGACCTAGGCTCGCAGCCAGCACTGTCACACAGCTGGTCCTCTTCTGGACTATGAGAGAGCAGTGTGAACTGGTTCACGGTGTCCTCTCACACTCTCCACCTCTGGGGGAGGAGCAAAAAATGAAGAGAAACTGGGGCAACAGATCACCTGTGTCTCCCAGTGACAGCCAAGTGCAGGGCCTGCTCAGAACAGGGAGAAATGGATCCAGCAGGGACTTGGGGTGTGGGGGGAGGGATAAGGGCTGCCACTAACCCAAGGGTGGAAATGTTGTTAGTCTTGGAATGTGTGTGTGTTTTGGGATGGGGAGCGGGGAGTTACTGATGCCCTTCCATGAACAGACAGCTACTGAGCGGGGTCATGTATGGGTGAGTATGAGCAGAGTGTTTGTGTGTGCGTGTGCGTTTGTGTGTGTGTGTGTATTTGTGTGTGACAGAGAGAGAGATCCCACCCTTTTCTGACTCCTCGACTTAATCTGATTTTTCTGTTTTTCAGGCTTTTGTAAAAGGTCTGGTGGGAAGGAAGCTTCAACTAAGTCAACTAATGCAAACTTAACGGGATGCCCACTAGGCACGAGGCCCCGTGCTGGGCAGGACAATACTAAGGGGAGCTATGGCCTGAGAAGGTAAGTTCTGACCACAGGAAAGTAACTCTTGTGGGAAGAGCACAACCCAGCCGGGCTCAGAGGAGGGAGAGATCACATCTGCTTGGAGGGACCTGGAAGAGGAAGAGGTGGCACTTTCCTCTGGGCCATAAAGCCCAGGTGTGGCTTCAACAGTCAGCTACAGGGAGGAAGGCATCCCCATCAGAGGGAACAGTGTGAGCAATGGCGAGGAGGTGGGAAAGTTAAGGAGTGTCCCAGGGGCACAGAACAGTCCCGTGTGGCTGAAGCACCGGCACAGTGGGCTGGGCTGGTGGGCTGAGGCAGAAATGCACAGGGCACTGGGGCGGGAAGGGGACCTCCCGTGGGAGGCTTTGCCATGGGCTGGGCCAGAGAGGGCCAGTGCCAGGGGAACAGGAAGGAGGAAACACGCTAGCCCAACCCGGGGAATTAGGGGGAAGGAGACAGTGGGAGGGCTGGAGGGAAGGAGTGGAGAAAGAAGAAGGAGGAATCAAAGGCTACTGGGATTTTAACCTGCAGGAGGACAGGAAGAATGGTTGGAACCAATTATTCCAAACTCTGCAGGGCTTAGCAATGTGCTCAACAATACACAGCAATACATAATTCACCATGTGTTCAGTAAATGCCATCACCATCCTCCCAGAGGCTGAGGCCAAAATCTCAGTCATCCTCAGATCCTCTCCATGCCATGGGATCCTTCAACAAGCTGCACTGCCCTCCCTCCCAAATATCCCAGCACCCAGCCACATCCCTCTCCCTGCACTGCTCCCTGTTCCCCTACCTGGAAAGCTCTGTCCCCAGATCTTCCTGTGGCCACCTCCTGCAGCTCAAGTCACCTCCTCCAAGAAGCCTTCCCTGACCACCAGTCCCCCCCATCACTCTCATGTCGCCCCATTTTCTGTGCTGATGTCTATCTCAACACATGCCTCCCCAATCTCTTGTGGTTTGTTCATAGCTATTTCCCCAGCACCTGGAACAGTGCCAAGCATAGAATATGTACTCAATAAATATTTGCTGAACTGTCCATAATGCCATTTTAGGAGGGCAGGGTCCTCCATGCACTATATTCACAGACATGTGACATTCACTGCCCAGAGATGCTTCTTCCAGGAGTTGTGCCCCAAGACTGGGTCAGACCAAGGGCTGTCACCGCCCATGCCTAGGGAGCACTCAGTATGGATGGGTGCCATCTGGATAAGGCTGTCAGCAAGTGGTGGCCCCAGGAACAAGAGAGGAGCAAGTCACCGCCCTGTGGGCAGACACTTCTCTACAGCCTGCAGGTCTGGAGGGTGTCTGCAGCATACAGACTGATGCAATTTCCTTAGCACCAACTCCTGTGGGAAACATAACAGGTTTACTTCCTCTTCCCCGCAGATAGCAAGAAACATCAGCAGGCCCGGGGGTCTGTCTGGCACCTTTCCCACTGCTGGAGCGGGCTGGCTGCTGACTGGTGCCCATTGCTTGGCCAGGGATCCCTCACAGAGGAGAGGCAGGGCTTTGAACCAAATCCATATGCGGCCTCCTTCAGCCCCACCCATTTCCTTAGCATGGAACTGCCCTGCCTCTCTGCCTCGCTGCCCATCCTACACAACACCGCGCCCTTACGGCTTTTTGGATCCCGACAATAGGATGCAAATATAGGCCATTTGACAGACAGGAGAACTGAGGCCGGGCCCCACGGTTAGTGCCAAAGCCAGGCCTAGAACCCAGGTCTTTGTTTGTTCGTTCTGAGCTATTTCTGCTAGTCATTCACAACAGTTTCTAAAATTAATACGAAATGACAAGTATGCGTGTGTGCATACATGGAAACGTTCCTGAGAAATGCGAAACGAACAAGGCACAGCCTGAGATAAGACCAAGCTCCCAAGTTGTCGGTGTGTGTACCGCCCCACCCCTGCCCCTGGGCACTTGAAGGTTAGGGGCATTGCCTTATTGACCTCTGTAACCCCGGATACCTGGCACGGGGCGGGCACAGAGCGGACGCCCAGCACTTGCCCCCAGAATTGCGCCGAATGTCAGGGATGCCAGCCTAAGCGAGGACCCCGGCCCGCACGACTCCGGGCGCCTCCCCTCCTCCGGCCGCCCGCGGGGAGCCCTGGAGGCCGGCGAACCGCTGCCCTGCAGTTTGCGGCTCGGCCCCCTCTGAAAAGTTGCTGGGGCTCCTGACGCGCCGACCCCCGCCGCGCGCACCCACTCACTCGTGCTGGGCCGCCAGGTGGTTGAAGACGTAGGTGACCGGGATGGCCGAGAGGGACAGCACGAAGACCCCTGTGGCCGCCGAGGCACTCATCGCCACCGCCGCCGCGCCGCTTGCCCTTCACCGCATCCCGCGCGGGCGCCCCGCCCCAGCTTCCGGCTGCGCCCGCGCCCCTCGGCCGCGCCCTTCAAGGCGCCCCGCCCAGCGCGCCCCCCGCGCTGCGCCCTCAGCAGCGCCCCCACGGCTCGCCCGCCCGCAGCCTCCTGGTAAGCAGGGCAGGTGCACAGGCCCGGGAGGCCCCCTGCCGTCCTCCCGCCCAGGGCTGCTGGGGCTCCACCGCGAGCGCCGGGCGGCGCCGAGGAGCGGCGACAGCCCCCTGACCGGGGACAGGTGTCCCCGGAGGCGCGCGCTCTGCGGGAAGGCGGCGGACCTGGAGGTGGGCGCGGGGCCCCGGCCCTGGGCGCAGCCGGGAGCTTGTCATCGACGAGAGAGGCTCTGAAGAGTGTCTGGGCCGAACTGCGGGCAGGCAGAGGGTGGAGCCAGACCCGGGGGTGTCAGAGCGGGAAGAGCCCGCGAGATCATCCACGTGGGGAACACTCGGGCCGGGGATAGGAAGGGATAAATGATCCCGAAACCTTGGAACCTCTCCACCGGAGCAGCCAACAACCGGCAGCGAGCAGTGCTCCTACGCCGAGTCCGAATTCCGGTTTAAACCCCGTCTGCTCACTCACCAGATGTCGACCTCGGTCAAGTACTTAACCTCTCTGTGTCTTTTCCCTTCTCTACCAAATGGGAATAACCCACGTCAGTGTGATTGTGGGATTCACTGAGTTAATAGGCATGAAGTGCGTGCCCAGTACTAATCAGTACACTGCTATCACCTGCAATTCCCATTTTTACTTGGAGCTGACACTCCGAGGAATACGATTTAAGAGACTAGAACGCTATTCATTTCTCTTACAGGTAGCGTTCCTGGAAGCCAGCTTACCACCAGACAGCCTGCCCTAGTTCATACAGAGTACAAGGAAGCCAAGGACTCTGCCCTCACACTGCTGTAAGACAGACAGACAGACGCCCACTCGTTACAGAGAATAATGCGGGCCAAGCCTGCCCTGGCTGCTTGACCTTGCTGCCGGGCGGCCTCAGACAGCCCCTGGGACAGAGCCTGGAGTCCTCTACTGGCTGGGAAAGGGAAGGGAAGTGAGTTTCAGACAGAGGACAGCTCAAGCAACCAAGGGAAGCACATGTACTTAGTGACCTTACACCTGCTAACAAGCTGAAGACAGCAGCAGCTCGTTTTAGAGGTGAGAGAAAAGAGTGGCAAAGAGGCTCTGAGCTGCCCCAGGGCCACTCAACTTTTCAAAAGCCAGCTTTCCCAATCCTCTATCCCAGCGCTTCTTGGAGGCTTCTCAAACTCTGAAGACATAATGATAAAGCCTTGGCCCAAACTGTGACACATCCAAAGCTTCCCCAAGTGATGTCCTTACCTGTGACCTGGACATCATCCCCTTCCACAGCTACTCCTAACCTTTACCAGCTCCTTAAACTCTTTCCTCCTCCCGGAGGACAAATACCTCGTCGGAGACCCCTTCTCTCCTCCCAGCCAGTCTCCCAGGCCAGCCCAACCCCTCCATCACCAGCCAAACCTTGCCGAATCAATCTTGCCTTCTCTCTTATACCGTGAACCCCTCTAGCCACCCTGGGTCCTTCCCCTCAACCTAGACACATGCTCGTGTATGATCCAGTTTAGAAAACTGCACCCTTGACCTGTGTGTCCTCTCCATTTGCCATCTTCTCTCTTCCCTTTCCCATCCATGCTGGGTTGTTGTTGTTATTGTTGTTGTTTTTATCCCCTTTAAAACTTTTTTTTAACATCTTTATTGGAGTATAATTGCTTTACAATGGTGTGTTAGTTTCTGCTTTATAACAAAGTGAATCAGCTATGCATATACATATATCCCCACATCTCCCTCCCTCTTGCGTCTCACTCCCACCCTCCCTATCCCACCCCTCTAGGTGGTCACAAAGCACCGAGCTGATCTCCTTGTGCTATGCGGCTGCTTCCCACCATCTATCCATTTTACATTTGGTAGTGTATATATGTCCATGCCACTCTCTCACTTCGTCCCATCCATGCTGGGTTTTAATGACCGTGTCTGTGCTAATAGATCCCATTTTATCATTCGTAGCACTGATGTCTCCCTTTAGCGCTGCTCCCTGGCATTCCACGGACACCTCACCCTCAACATGGCCAAAATGGAATTCCTCGTCTGCCGCAAGACCACTCCAGCTTTATCTCATCTGGTGGCACCACCATTCACCTGGTGATCCAGAAAACTGGCAGTCCGCATCGGTTCTGGCCAATCCCGAACTCCTATGATTACCACAGTCCTCCTGTTACTTCCCAAATATCTCTCAAGTCTGTCTCCCTATCTGTACCATTGCTGTCTCAGTTCAGGTCTCTACTATCTTCCATGTGCCAGCCTCCTCCCCTGTCTCCCTGCCTCTGACCTCACCTGCTCTAGAAGACCTTACCTGGCCGCCCTCCTGTGCCTCCTCCACCCTCTCTATCAAGCACCCTGCTTTGCTTTCTTCATGGTACTTTACTTATACTGTCCAAAATCATCTTGTTTACACGTCTGCTTCCTGTTCTGTGTCCCTCTCTCCATTATGATATAAGCTCCCTGAGGTCAAGAACCTTATCTATCTTGTTTACCATTCTATTTCCATCACCTAGACTAACACCTGTATGGAGCAGGTACTCGAGAAACATTTGTTCACAGAATGAACGCTCTAGATCATCATAGTCTGACGGAAATATAATGCAAGCCACAAGTGTGAACCGCATGTGTAGTTTTAAATTTTCTAGTAACCACATTAGAAAAGTAAAAAGACAGAGGTGAAATTAATTTTAATAATATATTTTATTTAACACGATATGTCCAAAAGATGATCATTTCAATGGTCATCAATGTCAAAGGTGTTAATGGGAAACTTTACATTCTTTTTTTTTTTTAATACTAAGGCTTTGCAATTTTGTGTGTATTTTACAGTATAACTCATTTCAGGCTAGTCACATTTCAAGTGCTTAATAGCTACCTGTGGCCAGTGGCTTCTGTTTTGGACTTCACAGTTCTATATGTATTCCTCCTATCTTATCAAGCTGGCTTCGGTTATGCTCTCTGCTACTTTAGGAATGGGTGTGACAATTAAATCACTAACAAGAGGACTCAAACATCCTCAGAGAGTCTACCATGTTTCCAGCATTGTTCTAAGAAGTGGTCACACAAAGATGAATCAAACACATTTCGCCCAAAAAGACCACAGTCTAGTGTGGGAAAAACACATGTAAACAATTAGCATGCAAGGTGATAAAAGATTTATGTACAAATTGCTGTAGGAATCACCAATCTTGTCTGAAGGAGTCAAGAAAAGCTTCAGAGAGGAGTTGAGGCTTTAGACCAGCCTTGCAGAACAAGTAGAAGCTGGATAAGCAGGCAAGGACTGGTGGGGTTTTCCAGAAAATGGAAACAACACATGTGAAAGCCAGAAATGTAAGAGAGAGCATGCCAGTCAATGAACTTCAAGCTGTTTGCTCTGGTTGGAAACACTCGTGCATGAGGGGGGCTGGTGGGAAGTGGCAATGGAGAGGTGATCGGGGATTCAGTCTCAGAAAACCTCAAGGGCAGGGAGCATTTAAGATTTATGAGTAGGAGGAGAGGCTGACTTAATCAGAGTCACTTTTTTGGAGGAGGGGGGCCCTGCCACAAGGCTTGTGGGATCTTTGTTCCCTGACCAGGGATTGAACCCTGGGCTGCGGCAGTGAAAGCACGGAGTCCGAACTACTGGCCTGCAGGGGAATTCCCCAGAGTAGCATCTTCAAAGATCTGCCTGGCAGCTGATGTGGACCATGGTTTAGAAAGAGGAGAGGTAGGAGGCAGGAAGTCCAGATGGGAGGCTTATCCTAGCAAGAGATGCTGAGGACCTGAACCAAAGTGATGGCAATGAGAGGGAAGAGGAGGGGGCAGATGTGAAAGATCTGGATAGGAATTGTAAGAGGAGAGAGCTGGGAGAAGGGGGCTTGAGGATGAGTTTGGCTTTGGATACGTTGGGTTTCTAGTACCCATGGGGCTCCCAGGAGGAGCCGTCCCATAGGCAGTTGGGGATACTGGTCTTTGGCACCAAGAGAAGCACAGGCTGCAGATACAGATTTGAGGGTCACCGGCCAAGAGGTGTGGCTTAAAAATCAAGGAAATGAATTCAATGTCCAGGAAGAGGGTAGAGTCAAAGAGAATGGTAACAGAGGCCACCTGAGAGGGGCTGGTGAGCATTTCCATCAGCAGAGCAGCCCAAGGGCATCTGAACTCAATGGCAGAAGCATCCAACATCCCACACCTGTGAGCTGCTCCCTAGGAGTCTGCCAGGGACCCAAGGGCCATGGCAAAGCTTTGGGGTACTTTGGTATGCATGTTGGAGATTATATTATTTTGTTGACAACAATTTGTCTTAATGCTGAAAATATGAGTGGTCAGAATGCTTGTAGTGGTGAAGAAACCCTCCGCAGGTTTCTGGGGAGGGCACAAACCCAGTGAATATAATCTCATTCTCCAGCACTGCAGTACTCTGTAAATTATAAAGGAATTCCATCAACATTATCCTATAATCTTCACAGCAGTTCTCTGAAGAGTATGGAGCCATTTATGGATGAAGACACTGGGGCTCAAAGAGGTGAGGCAACTTGCCCAAGGTCAAAGGGCTAAGAGAGGGTGCACTTAAATTCAGATTTGCTGACTTTAAGTCACTATACCCATGATGCCACAGCTGACCAGCAGCAAAGCACCACATCGGGCACCTTAGAAATGGTGGGTGGACACCCTACAAATTTGGCCAGTTGACTCATTGCTTTAGGAGGCTGAGTTCTGGAGTTCTGCTCTATGCAAATCAGTAATTATTAAGTTGCCCCTCCTCTTGAAAAAGGGTTGGGTATGACTTAAAATAAAAGGCATTCAGACAATAAATTTGTTTTTTGATTTTCGGTTTTTGTTTTTTTAGGACCATCCATCTTGCAAGCCGTGAAGGCTAATATTGTAGCTGTGAAATTTGACTCCAAGCTTCCTGGAAGCAAAAATAGACACACAGAGGTCTGTACTCTGCCCATTCCCTGATGAGAAAGACAGTTTTCGGTGTATTGGTTCAAAAGAATTGACAAATCTGGAATTACACGGAAGGGCCCCTGACCGTGTCTGCTTCTGCCATGGAGGGGAAGTGAAAGCAAAACATCAGAGAACCTGGTCACATAGGAAGTAGGAACTAAGGAAGAATACTGCTGGGCAGGAACTGAGGGAGCACAGTGAGGCTGTTCTGGAAGAGTGTAGAAGTCAGCCCTGTGTTCACTCGTTAGTACCCAGCCCCAGTGGCGTCTTCCCCTTTCACATGCTTCAGTTTTCCACTATTTTTCTTCCTTCTTTTTTTCTTTCCTTTTTTTCCTTATTGAAGTATAGTTGATTTACAACATTGTGTTACTTTCAGGTGTACAGCATAGTGATTCAGTAATTTTTGCAGATTCTTTTCCATTACAGGTTATTACAAGATACCGGGTACATTTCCCTGTGCTATTCAGTAAGTGCTTGTTGCTTATCTATTTTATATATAGTAGTTTGTATCTGTTAATGCCATACCTCTAATTTGTCCCCTCCCCTCTTCCCTCTCCCCTTTTTTCCCCTTTTTTTATCCTTCTGATAAAAGTTGTGATTGTGTTCTTTGGAAAGGCTGAACACTCTAGACAAACGTAAATGGGACAAACAGATTGCTCTGTGGGGTGTATAGAGACAGAAAAAAAATGACCTGAGAGTGACCAGGGCAAGGGTACATATCTTAGTGGGTACATTACCAGGGTCTTGTCCTGAGAAGGGACCAGAGAGTGACCAATCCACTCAAAGAAACATTAAGTTATCCTAAACACTAAGTCACATTAAACACAGGGTTTGTCTTTGGCCACAAGCGCCCTGACTGTCTTAATATGCTACAATGATTAACATGGATATTTTTGGGTAGTGCCAGGCATAGAGCAGGTGCTCAATAAATGCTAACTGAAGGGAGAGGTAAAGTTAGTATGTAAAATGTTTGTCAAAAAGTCTTGTGCAGTTGCTAGATGAGATCTGCACCATTGCCCTGGGTTTCCTAGCAATCAAAGCAAAGAGGGAAACATAATGTTATAACAGTCACAGTGTCCGTAAGATAAAAACAGATCATAGGCTCAGAAGATCTCTCTCATGGCTCCTCTTAAAGGGAACACCATGTCATATAGTATGTCCTCAGCAACATTCCTACAATAAATATAGAAATCTAATTCTGAACAGTTGTCTCTCAGTATGTCTTCAGTGCAGGTGGCTGGCATATTGCCAAGAGTCACTCAGTGCAAAGGAGCCAAAATAATTCCTTACAGATAAGCAGCCCTCAGAAGGTTTGGTTTGGTTCGGTGATAAATTTTACGATATCTGGGGGCAGAGGCGGAAATACCTTCCCGGCAAGCACACCACCACTTCCAGTCCAAGCCCAGAGCATCAATGGGTTTCATTGATCATTCACCAATGATCAATGAAACCTTCTCCCATGGAGATTGGACATCACCAATAGGCTTCTTCTCACTTGCCAACTTAAATCGATCTGCCAGCTCTGATCAAAGGGTATTCATGAATATCCTTCAGGCGATGTTCTGTGAATATTATTTCATATAGTAACATCTTAATACAAATGAAGCAACAGAGAGTTTGAAATTACAGTGGCTGGCAAGAAAGAAGAAACATTCTGAGTGGATAAGTAAGGACAGAGCATTATGGTTTGACAGACAAACAAATGGAGGGTAATTTGACACTCTTGCATGAAAAGGATGAGCATCGGACAAACAAACCCGAGGTTGCTGCATTGTTCAGACCCTCCTGAGGTATAACAAAAAAGACCTCACATGTCAGGGTTTGGGTTAGACAGAACCCATTGGAGGGGAGGTTGAGGGACTTCCTTGACATTTACTTTTCCCCTCTAGATACCTTTTCAACCTCTGATTCAAGAGTTAAAGTAAAAGTAGTTAACATAAGAATAGTTAACATAATTAACTGGCCAATAAATATATTTTTTAAAAAGACTAAGCAATACAGTGCTTGAAATAGGAAAGAGTACTCCTAGTAGACCTGAAATCTGAAGGATACATAGAAGATTGTGGTAGCTGTTACTTTGCTGGTGTCCTGAACCACACTTCTTAGTATTTGTGCCCTTTGTAGTTCCCTACCACACTGACTCTGGACTTGGCAGGTGGCTAGCTTGCTCTGGCCAATGGGACATTAGGAAGCATAATTTAAACAAAAGCTTATAAGAGCTTTTGCCCATTAGAGTCTGTCCTCTTATGGTGCTCTTTCTTGGAACCAGCCACCATGCTGTAAGGAGGCCCAAGCAGCCATGTGGAAAGGATAACACGGAGAAGAACCAAGGCCCCTGGCTGACAGCCCAAGCTGAGATCCCAGCCAGCAGCCAGCACCAAACATGAAAGAAGGTTAGTTTTGACCACCCAGCCATCCCAACATCAACACCACATAAAGCAAAAGAGCTGCATGGTCAACCCACAGAAGCATGAAAAATGAGACATTTTTGATGCTTTAAGCCATTAAAGTTTGAGGTGGTTTGTTATGCAGTCATGGATAACGGACAAATAGGAAGCAGTAGTGGAGAAAAAACAGAGGCAATTTAAACCTGAGACACCAAAATTCTTCCCAAGGGAGATAAGGAGCAGGTCCAAGTTCAGAGTCAATAAATGCAGAGTAGGAAGGGTTTGGACGAGCATTGAGGAGCAGTATTGTGGACAGCTCAGATAGTCAGCCCTTCCTTCTCTCCTGGCACGAAAACGTAGTAGGTGAAAGCAATGGCATTCTCCCTCATCATTAATCAAAAAACCTGCTCTCTAAAGAAAGAGGGAAATCTGTTCAGAAGATGTCTGAGGGGGCCAGTAGGAGGGCCTGAGAACTAAGCAGAACCCAGTTAGAAATTCTAAAGGGCTCTGCCCCCAGAATAAAACCCACTTGGACAACTGTGAGGGTCTCTAACTTGACTACTTCCCTCTTATCCTGGTACCCTAAAAAGGTGTCTATCTTCTGAAACCCCACATGCATAGAACTCTCAGACAATTCTGTCAGCCAGGGGAGAGGTCTGACAGGGACCAACAAATCTGCCAAGATGTTCAGGAAAGCTACCCACACTGCTTAACATAGACCTTTATTCATAACTATAAGCAGAAAACCAAGGTTGCTAAATATATTAGGAAAATCAGCAGCATGAAAGAGAAGGCCCAGGTTGAACCAATAGAAAAACTGACCTTGGCGGAAACAGAGACAATTTAAGAAAGAAGAGAGAACTTTATAAAAATTGCAATTAACATCCTCAGAGGCATTGCAGTTGAGAAATGGTCAGAAGTGGCTAACAGAAAGGAACAAAGAACAAGAAAAAGTTCTAGGAAATTAAAAATGGGATTGCAGTAGGGAAAATTCAATTCATGGGCTGAAATAATAATTTGGACACAGCTAAAGACCAAGCAGTTAATCTACAATCAAGGAATCTCACATAATATAGAGCAAGAAAAATAAAGAGGCAGAAAATATAAGAGCGTGAAGCAGGGACCCAAGAGGTCCTGCACCTGTCTTATTAGCAAAGAATGGAGAAAATAGAGGAGAGAAAATAGCAAAGAAGTAACAAAACAATATCTTCTTAAGCTCAAGAAATACACAAGTCTTCAAGACTGAAAAAGCCCACTGAACAAAATTAAAGAAAAAAGACTAAGCTCTCCCCACCAGCATTCCCAGAACCCTTTACACTGATCTACTCATTCCTTTTTCCCATAGCATATTTCACCTTCTGGCATACTATGTAATTTTCTTATCCATGCATAAGAAATATGCATGTTATTTTCAGCCTGTCTCCCTTGCTAAATTGTCAGCTCCAGGAAGGCGGGAATCTTTGTCTGATTTGTTCATTGTCCAGTGAACCTAGCACCTTGAACAGTGCCTGGCCTTTAGCGGGCATCAGTAAATATTTGTTGAATTGAATTAAAATCTAGATAGACACATCCTGGTAAAATTTTATAATTGTACATGTAAACAAGAAATCCTAAAATCTTTGGAATTTCCTACTAAAGAACAAGACACAGAACTGTCATCTAACATTAACAACATTGAATCCTGGAAAACAGAGTAGTATCTTCACAGTTAGCAAGGAAACCAGTCTCGGACCTAGAATTCTAAACCCTGCCACACTGCCAGTAATTTGTGAAGGCAGTAATAAGGCATTTTCAGATATGCAAGAACATTTACTATCCATGCATCCTAGATGACAGATTATGCCAGTATATTTTCCAGCAAAATTTTTTTAAAAGTTCAAGAAAAGACAGCATGGAATACAAGAAACTGAAACCCCAAGGAAGTGAAAAAAGCCAGCAAGAAATCAAAAGAATTGATCACGTTGGGATGATTGAATGGATCTCCCTGGACTAACAATGTTTAAATGACATGAGGATTTACATTTATTAATATTCTCTGGCTTCAATCACACGAATTGTTTCTTTAGTGACTAATATTTACATGTCACAAAACTATGGTATTTAAAAGTTTTCTAGGGACTTCCCTGGTGGGGCAGTAGTTGAGACTCCACGCTTCCACTACAGAGAGCATGGGTTCGATCCTTGGTCGGGGAACTGAGATCCGTGGTGCAGCCAAAAAAAAAAGTTTTCTATTTTTGAAATAACTGGAAAACAGTTACAAAACAAAATGTAAATATTGTAAACCTTTACCCTGTAAGAATCACAGCTACAAAAATTGAGAGGGGCTGACAGAGAAGAAGGTGTTTCAAAGTCTTTTTTTTTTTTAAATAAAATTGAAATTGAAATCCCCTTCCCAGTCCCATTCCTCTCCCTCCATCTCTAGAAGTAATCACTACCCTGTAACTGGGGCATATCCAGTCTTTATTTATATATGTCTCTATACATGTAAACAATATATAGTTATTTTATAAAATTTACATAAATGATAATATTCTTACATATTTTTTTCACTTAACATTGAGTTTTTGAAATCCACTGATTTCTATACACTTGTTCATTCATTTTCACTGCTAGAGCATTCTACTGTATGACCATACCACAATTTATTTTTCATTCCTCCACTAATAGATCTCAGAATTGTTTTTAATTTTTCACTTCTATAAACAATGCTGTAATGAACATCCTGTGATTCTCTCCTGTGCACACATCAAGAGTTTCTCCAGGTGGCAATACTTAAACACAAAACAGCCAGGTCAAGGTGTGCATGTTGTTTGGAGCTTCTTTACACTTGTTCAGT